ATAATTAACAAGATCATTAATTTGACATGGACATTCAGAAACAAATTGATAGATAAAAATGTAGTAAGAATTTGCATTGTGAAAAGTAATTCAAGAGTCATCATATCAAATTAACAATGATAAATTCATGAGCTTTTTTCTTCAACAGACCTGTGAGTTTGTTATCCATCAAAGACTGGTGCAATAAACAAATGAACCATTAGATAAAATCTTCTGGAGTTTTTCTTTTCTTTTCAAAAAACCATATCAAACCATTTATAGATGGCCAGGAGGAGGTGAATAATAAGGATAACCATCCGGATGAATTCTGAAGTTGATGAATGGGCTATGGCATTCCAAGTTGGGAAAAATTTAGTTAAACTGAGATTTTATGGAAAACATGAAATAAAAAACTCACATCAAGTATTGGAATATGATAATAATCAAAACCACAGCGACCATTCCAAATGATGCCACATACTTACTCATGCGACGGAAGTAATTTGCGTTTTCAATTCGAAGTTGATTCTCAAGCTCAATCATGTTGATTGCATTATGAATTTCATCATTGTTTAACATGGCTGTCTCTTCTGCTTGTGGCCGTGCGGTACTTATGACTACCCCGTTGTCCAATTCTGCTTGACAAACTGGGCACCTGGGCTTTATTTCTAACCATGGTTTGATGCATGGAGTGCATATAGAGTGGGTACATTTCAAGCTTGGATATGGCTCTGAGCACGTATCCAAGCAAATTGGACAGTCCTCTAATTTCTGGCTACTTTCCTCAGTGGAATCGGTTGTGCTTTTTGAACCAACAAGACTTATTTCTTTTGGGGGATTCCCAGTGGTTGCAAGACTGTTAGTTCTTTGACTTTTAGCTCCTGGAGCTGTCCCAATGCCTTCTTCACCATCTATTTCGATAGTTATCTCATGCTGTTAAAGCCCCAGGGAATAAAAATCAATCAAATCAAATTTTACCAGCTCAGTCTTGTGAAAAGAATATGCACACACATTGCAAGGTGGCTCGCTAGGCAAATGTAACCCGGCCCGATTGGTGTGGTGTTGGCATAGGTTAGACGGACTAACGGAATCTAAAGATTCTGCTGTGTGGGGGAGATGGCTGAGTTCTGTTGAGGTTTCACTCCCTAAGCTGTGTCCAACAAGCTAATTGAGTTTAAGTCGTTAGCTCCCAGGTTTGGCAATGGTATTCGTTGCCCCAATGAAGTCAGAAGTGCTTAACTATCAGGATCAATGCCCAGGAAACCATTTCAAAAGATGTCGCTATTTATCCAAGGAGCGAAGCAAAATTGAGAATGGATTTAAGATTGAGGAGGGTGTAAGATAGTTTGGAAGGCCAGCAGCTCACAATTGAAGACTTTGGGGGAGCTCAACACGAGTGAGTGATTACCCAGTGGTTTCAGCGAGAGGGTTTATAGAGGACTTCATAAATAAAACCTATCTGCGGATCTCTATTTATATATATTAATGGGACACTAACTACAGCATAATCAATGGTGATAGTGCGCAACCCGCCATTTCAGCTGAAACTTTGCCACCACGGCAACTCAAGAAATTGAGTATAGCGCAGCGGTCGAGCTTAACTATTCAATCCCCTCCGAGGAGGCGCAAATCCTTCGCACGCGACCTCCTCGGAGGGACTTGTGTTAAGTTTGCACAGCGGTGCCCCTCAACTCGACAAGCTACTCTACAGGCCCAGCAGTGCACATTGACTTTGCCTCAATCGTTGAAGATTACCGGAGGGAGGTTACGTGGTTAGTAAAGCGCCTCAGTCCTTCAGTTCTCCACATGGCCGGTGGTATTTGAGGTAATTCCAATCACAGTTAGCCTTTCAGGCCTTTATCACTTGACCTTTACCGGCCTGGGTCTTAAGTTGTTACCCCTTGCCCTCGGGGAAAAGATTTTGTTTGTTGAATTTCTGGTTGCTTCCTGCAGCAATGGGTCTATACTATACTTTACTATAACTGGCCCTTTTCAGTATAGTAAAGTTTACTCAAATTTCTATTTACTATACCAATACTATAACCAGTGTGTTTCCCACCAAGCTTGGTATAGTATAGGCCACTTTTTGTGGCTCCAAAATTCAATAATATTGTAAGGGCCTTGTCTTTATCAACCATTAAGTGTATCTATGAACTCCAGAGAGCCCTTCTGTTGTCAAGAGACTCTCACAAGTAGCTGTAGATGTTTTTAGCAGCATCCGGGGCAGTTTATAGTAGAGTAAATCACCCAAAAGAATTTGCTGTTCTCCTCGGTTATAGTAAAGGGCCCTGAAAATCAGACTATAACAACACCCTTTATAGTAAAGTTGGAAATATATATACTATAACAATACTATACCAATAACTGTAAAGTATAGACCCAGTGTTGCTTCCTGCTTACCCGGACCAGAGCCAAGTCACACCTACCCCCACTCAAGTCGTGGGCTCGTCAATTGGGGGGGGAGGGTCAATTTCATCTACACAGGCCACCTGAGAAAAGACAGATATGATTTTTTTCAGAGAAAAACTTGATGTTTTAGTGAGACCGGGCAATCAACAGGCAGTCTACAGAATTTCTTCAATAATCACCTTTGCTGCCATCATGGGCAACTGTATCAATATAATGTCAGTTTAATTCAATCAACATGTACCATGAGGGTTCTACCCTTTAAATACACAAAAAATTGAAGCACATCATAAAGTGTTTATCAATTTTTTTCTTGAAAAATGAACTGTTTGCACTGATTATTCAGAAAACCCAGATCTTTGAAGAAGTTTAAATTGCTGGAATATTTTTGATGAAGGCCTGAAGTTGGCTCTCAAGTTTGATGGATTCCAGTTTTGATCCTTGTGTAAATGTGAACCCCCCTGTTGAATTGTTTTTGTTAAAAATTCCATATTTCTGACATTAGACATGAGGTTTTCATCTTACCATATATCAAGCATGCAATTGAGTTCTAAACACAGCCATTCATTGGAGTGTATAAAATGCGCATACCAGTCAGGATATTCTGAAGAATACAATAAACAATTTTCTTCATTTTACATTCAAACAGAAATTCACAGACAAAAATTTAGCAAAAACTCCAATTCTTGCAAGGCAGTCAAGAATCATTAGAGAAGATTGATGTAAATTATTCTGTACCATAACACATCTCAATGGCTTGAAGATTTTATTTTTGGATTCTTTACAAACCAAATTTATAATGAACCATTTATAGATGGCCCGGGGAAGGTGCATATTCATTTTGGATGAATCATGCCACTGAATTATGGTCTTCAAAATTCCAAATTAGCAAAAAAAGACTGAGATTAAATAGGAAAAATGAAATCAAGAAACCGCATTTTCATCTTGATTGAAGATCCCAAACTTGTCCAGAAAACCAATGAAGAAACCAGTTATGAATTTCCAGTTGATTTGGTTGTCTTGTCTGTTTATAGCTGTGTGGCACTTACTGCCACTCCTCCATGCAATTTTGCTTGAAAAACTGGGCATGCAGGGTTTAGTTCTAGCCATGGATTATTACATGGAGTGAACAGAGTGGCTACATTTCAAGAATTAATATGGCTCCCAGGGGCCAGCAGGCATCCAAGCAAATCTGACAGTCTATTGTTTCCTGACCGCTTTCTCCAGTACAACCATCTTCATTTCTCAAACCAACAAGACTAATGTTTTGGGGTGAATTGTATGTGCTTGCAAGATTGGTTGGTTTTTGACTGGAAGGTTGTGAGATTCTCCACCAAGGTATTCACTCTTTGGTGATTTATCAGGAAAAATACTGTGAGTTTTTTGGGAAGGAATACTAAAAGAATTATAGTAATGATTACAATTATGATGATCTTCATCTTTGCTATTCAACTATTGCAGTAGACAGTGAGCTCATGGGAAAAAATGTTTTGAGGATTTGAACTTGAATGCATTTACCACCAAAATTTGGAAACATCAAAACAAAATTAGAGAATGTCCATCTGGAGAGATGTCATCCAGATTACAGTAAGACCCATGTACAACCTCTCCAGTCAGATCAATTTTGAAATTTCTGGGACATTAAACTTCAAAATTAGGCTCAACTATCTGCTGGATGGTGCATGATGATTCATACAAAATCTCTCAGAGAAAATTTGGGACGAACTCTAGGGAGAAATTGTGTCAGAAGTAGGACAAAGAAATGAGACATTTGGTTGTTCATGTTTTTTCTTATCATATTCATGCTATTCTTCAGCTTACCTGACACATTCATTAAGGCTGTTCATGGCATAGTGAATAGCATCTACTCTTGGTACCTACCTCCTTCTGACTGGTAACATGCATCAATTGTGGATAGTGTTCAGCTCCGAAAAAAAATATGTGTATACTCTTTGGCTTGGCTAATTAGTCAAGTTCATGGGTTGTTGACAGTGTGCAATGTTAAACCAAAACTGCTATTAAAAAGGGGTTTTTGAGACACAAGAAGATTGACTTTGGATGCCCTTCTCCTGGCATTACCATCATGCCTTAGTTTGGTCTGGATTCCCAATCCCATCAGGGTGGAATACGTATTTCAAAGCAAGTGATTAAGCCTGGTCTCTTTGAATCTTTGCAGACCTGTTCTTGAAAATTTAAAATCCAATATCCATGGATTGGAGTAGTTCCTTGGTTGGATTTGTTGCTGTTGTCCTTCAGAAAGTATGGAACTGTGTAGAAAGCAACTCAGCTGTAACTTGTATGTGGAAGTCCCTGGGGTGTTGAAATTGAGCAATTTTTTGTGAAATTTGTGGTGGCAGTCTTGAGCCCCTCAACAGATGCCTGCATCAATGTCGCACCACTCGCTCAACTTGACCAGCAAACCAGTATAATCGAGCGAGATGGCAACCGATCAAACAAAAGTTTGGGTAGGTAAGAAACACCAGCAATCCTAATCAAATTGGCATGGATGTGGAGCCCAGCATGAAGGGTTAGATACTCATCAGATTCTTCTCGATCTTTTCAAACCTTCCGACCACGGCCGGCTGTGGACTAATCGCTCACCTTGGATCTCAAAGATGGGTCAGTTAGTACAATGCTCTGCTGTCTAATTACACCGGAGACTGCTTAATTGACAAATTTTGACTTTTTTTGCAAATATAGCTGTTTCGAGTGGGTATCTTTTGCCAAGAAGCTTTGTTCTCCCGAAATATTAGCTGACTTGCTCCATTTTCATCTTTTCTTGTCCTACAGTTTGTTTCATTATGGACATGCAAATGCGATCCGACAAAGCCGAGGTGAGCGAACATTTAACTTGTTGGCCTGTGTGCGTCCCGGTATCGAAATTTGAAAACACTGTGTTGATGGTCCCCTTTTTGGCGGAAAAAGCAATGGCTGATTGGCTGGTAGCAGGATGTCACTCGGATGAAGCGATTTCTGAGAACAAAGGACCGCCTGTGATCACGCAATCTGAAAGGTGTGTTTCTTCTTCCTCATTTTTCAACACCACAAATGTGAAGACGACTGTCTTGGGATAACTAATGATGTGATTCTTGTATTTGGGGTGATAGAGTCAAGCTGCTCCAGGGATGTAGATGGGTGGATGAAGTGATCCCAGACGCACCCTATACGACTCAAGTCGAGTTCATTGCCAAATATGGGATCCACTTCGTTGCTCATGGGGATGACGTCACCACCGACGCCAATGGCTTGGACAGCTATCGACTGGTGAAAGAAGCCGGACTCTATCGCCAGTTTCCTCGTACACCTGGGGTCTCCACCACCGATGCACTGGCCCGGATCTTAAACCCATCGGATTCAAACACATCCACCTCCGATTCAGAACCTGGGGGGTTGACCATCAACATATCAGTCCTCAATGCGTTCTTGAACTCGGCCTCCTCGGGAACACCTCCCCCCTTGAAAGTCTTGAAATCAGCCGCTACCGAATCGTTTACGGTTCGTGAACCTACTATCCGCTCTGATGGACACACTCTGGCTCTCGTCCGCCAACTAGAACGTCCAACGGTCTATCTCCATGGAACGTTTGATCTGTTTTCCTCTCGCGACCTTCTCCAACTTCAAAACGCCTGTCAAGACGGCAAATTGGACTTGCTTGTCGGAATTTGGAGTGAGGATGTGAGCCGCGTATCTTCTAACACCATAGAGCGCTTCACGACTTTTTTTTTTTCTTTGTTCCGATGCTAATCAGTTTTCCTCCATTTTTCTTGCCCTGCTTCCACGTCAGGATGCCAATGAAAAACTAGGAAAGAAATGTATTTGGAGTTTTCAGGAAAGGGCTCTTGGGGTGTTGCAATGCCGGGTGAGCTACCAACTGGATGTGTCATTTCTATCCAGACCCATCTGGACCTAAACGGAAGATTTGGATTGACCGTCTCTGTCTGTCACACCAATATCCAAAAAAAGTACGTTACAGGCCTTGTAGTTCCAGCAATCCCGTCCACAGAGCTCCTCAAACATCAATCGGAGATCCCCGCCAACAAACTCTTGACAAGCTCGATCATTCAAGAGGCCAAGTTTTGCCCGGATTCCTCTGCCGAAACGATTGCTTCGATCTTAGACCGAAAAGAAGAATTCCTCGCCAGACAGGAGCGCAAACTATCTAAATCAATCTTGGAAAATCAGTTGGAAAATCAGAATCCAATCAAATCACCCTGAAATCTATTGAAGCTATCATTCTGTCAAATGCATTCCACTAGTAAACAATGCTGAACACTTCACAAGCCATCTCTATCAAGGTTATAATTTTATGCTCATCTCGGGACACATTGTTAATGCCACTAACAATGACATAGAAAAATTTGAAAAATTTGAATTTATCTTATCTTGTGTCAGTCAAAACTTGTTTTTTTTTTTTTTTTCCTCAATGAGCGTTGAAAAATGTAACAGATAATCAGATTGGCCTAGGACTTTCAAACAAGTCCCATGCGTTATTGCTGCTCGTGGAGCATCTTGTTCTGGTTCTCCATGGTTTCCGTTTTCGGTACAAGATATGGGCCTTACCTCGTGGCAAGGAACGGGGTTCAGTGCGGAGGTTGGCTTTGCCCGTGTGAACAGAACAGGCAATAGGAAATTGAACTGGTTCATCACCCCCAACAGAGGCCAAAAAAGATAGATGAACAAGTATCACAAAATAAGCCAAAAACAGGTTGGGTTGAGAAATAAAAATATTTTGGAAAGATAAACACATGCATGGGACAGAAACTAAGAAACTAGCCTGACTGCGTCTGGACATCACTCTTTACGGCATGAAGGAGAAGGGGATTAAGATCATTAGCCTAGGGGCCAAAGCTGGCCAAAGATATCCCTATGTACCCGCCGCCTCGGGCTGTTGTCCGCCCGCGCGAAGTTGTATGTACCGAGTTTGCTGCAGTCCCCGTTGACTCCTCGGTGCCCGGCCCCCGTGGACCCAGCTCTACAAGTATGTAAATACAGCCACTTGTAAATTTATAAGCTGCACAGCACAAGCACTGCAGGACACCGTCCATCCAAACCACACACCTCAATCCTCACGATGTCTTCAAGCTGGTCCAGTCTATCATCGGTCGATAAGGTTGAGTGTTTCCTTCAATCGTTCTTGCTTGCATGTTGAATAACGCTGACAAATTGTCAAAAAAAACAGCAAGCATTCTATTCGATACTTGATGAGGTCAGTCAAAGTACCTCGTATTGAATCTTCAAAAGTTTCAGTAATGGGTTCTACAATATCAAAATGCCCGTCCATTAAGTGAGGTGACTGAATTAACCCTCCTTATTGGATGTAGTATTTTGAATCGAGGCCCCACCTTTTTCAACAACAGTCTAGTGGAACCAATGGCGACAATTTCTCAGCAATCTCGAATTTAGCCGGTGCAAACCCGAAGATGACAGCTTCCGCACTCAAATCCGCAGGAGTACCACCATCATTAGCCAAACCATCAAACGTATCTGCCGCCTCATCTGCCTCCAAACATCTTAATGGTATCGGTAGTAAGGTCGGTCAGCTATCCGGGAAATTCAGTAATCATTTCGCGAATTCAGAACAGACCCAGCAGCAACCTCAACCTCCTAATGCCTCATCAAAACCGGCCAATAGCTTTACCAACTTGAACAAACTTGCAGGTCCGTGTTTTCATTTCATTAATACCCTCGAATAACTATGAACGATCGAATTTATTCAAATTCTCTTATGTTTCTCAATCGGAAAAAATCAATGTATTACTTGATTCTACTGCGGACTGCCATAAATTTGCAGCCACACCACCGATCAGCAACCAGAATTCTTTTGCTCCACCACCAACTCGTCGTGTAGCGCCTTCCACGAGGGCATCATCGTACTCACAAGCCCCTCCCCCACCTGCTCCTCCAGCAAGGTCAAAACCGCATCAAGATGAAGAATTGGTGGAAGCTATGTACGATTATGAGGGCACGAGTCAGGAAGACTTGTCTTTCAAAGAGCATCAAATCATCAAAGTCACCGAGCACAGTTTAGTAATTTCATGCCTTTTTCACTAAACGCTCATGTTTATCCAAACCATTGTTGACATTGATTGTTACTTATCTCATTTTTCAACCCATCAAAACAAACAAATTTGGTTTTAACCTCGTCATCTATTGCGTTTCCGGTGGTCTACTCGACATTTTGGCTTGCTACCGAAAATATTTTACGACCTCCAGTCTCAGACGACTGGTGGAATGGACAGATTAATAACGGCCCTATTGGAATGTTTCCCTCGTCTTACGTTAAGCCGATTTGATATTTTCCATTCTGTCTAATTCTGTGTTTTTGGTGTCTCGGCATCCTCCTCTCTTATTTTCCCTGTTCTTGTACACACTTAACCATCCCTTGAGCTACTATGAGTAATCGCTTGCACATTAAATGAACTCTTCCCTCTTTATATTTCTTTTTTAGGATCCGATTTTCATTTTCTCATACCATCATCATATTGTCACATCCTTGTATTTTTTTCACATCATTAACGCTGATCGTTTTTCCTACGCCAAGGGTGTACCTGTTGAAAGAACGTTTGAACATTTTTTTACCAGAATGTTCATGAGGTCAACATGTAGATTGTGTTTGAGCCGACACACTCATCCAAAGTGCACAGTAGAAACTAGAATAGGGTCGTGCTCTTGCTGATTCCGTGAAATATTTTTATTGTAAATCAACTTTCGCATGAGCGGGATAAGTCTTGACGAGGGCACATCCTACTCTTGGATCTTGCCCCCGGAGGGAGGTTGAGAAATTTCACAGGTCTTGGGTCCGAATTAGCCTGAATCTCTAGCGACTCCTCGCCGAGACAAGACCGCGAGTCATGGGCACACGCCGTTTATCTATGTCCTCCACCGACACGCATTTGGTGTGGCAGAGGTGGCTCCGACTGTAAACTCCGACAGACAGGATGTGATCGGGCACAGCTATCTTTCTGATGTCCAACCGAGGTGCAAATTGCCTCGGGATTGTCGGAGCGATGTTCATCTGGCAGCTCCGGGCCCGGCAAAGCTGAACTCGGATCGGAAGGTCCATAAACAGGTGAAACAGGAATCCTCCATCAAACCATTCGTCAGGGCATGTATGACTTGATTTAGAGGTGACAAGTGTACGAGGCAAACCAAGCACTATCAGCGTCTCATCTCCAGAAAATTCATCTTACACGTCTTGAAACCTTTCTCTAGATGATACATGCTTACATGGCAGGTGTATCGAATCAACCTCCCATCTCGGAGGGAACGGGCACATTTCGCTTTTATAAAACGTAGGCTCCGAAAGGTCATTTCTTTCCACCTCTCACCACCTGAGACGGCACGCCAAGCAGCTAGCCATAGGCATCTAATTATATTTACTCATCACGCTCTTTAAAAGAAATCACTCAAGAACAATGCCTGCTTTCAGCCGGCTTTCAACCACGAACTCCCAGCTTCCTAGAAGCACCAGGCTACGTGGCCTGGCCAGAACTCTCGTGTTGATGAGCGCTGCCATGGGACTCGTAGGGCTCGCCGATTCAGCATCTACGCACAAAACCGAAAACTCGCTACATACCCATCTCAATACCCCTCAGCATTGGCAGGAGATGAAATTGGACGAATACTTGTTGACTTATCCCAACGGCGAAGTTCTCACTCTATCTGTGAGCCTCTTATCTAGGATTTATGTTCTCGTATCTCCAATTGACTTTTAACTCGACTTGATATCAATGCTTGGATCCTTATAGCAATACGCCGAGCAGCTCCCGCATCCCTTTCCTCTGCACTGTGGCATAGGAAAATTCAAGGATTGTCAGATCCCTTCAGTAAGTCTAGAGATAACCTAAGCCCATCAGTCACGTACGATTGAGCAGGTCATCATTACTTCTCTAGTACGCTTCACTTCGGGACGGCCCGGACTGGTGGATTGTTACTTCAACGATCAATTGGAACTACTACACAAACTTCTTGGCCAGCACCTTGGCCCACTCCGGGCAACTTGCAAAAGGTAAACTGCTCTCAAGATCCTTCTCCAACGGAAGCCGAGTACTGAAAAGTCCTTTGGTTACTATTCAGATGTTATTCACCGCCTGCTTCATGACCTGTGAGCCACTTTCTACCACTTGGGCTAAATTAAGATTGTCTCTGAAAAACTAAGTGCACAATTGCGCCCAACAGTGTCTACGAGTACAACCCTGAAACAAGCCTCGGTGTGATGACAGAGGTGGACTTAATCCGAACTATCCTTTATCCCATTGAGCATGGGGGAAACCGTGACCACACTGTCAGTGACAGGACAGAAGTTCCTGATTGGATGGCTGCTATCAGTCCCATCGTAAGCCATTCCGTTATCCCTACTATAGACCATTCTGTGAACGTCGAACCACCTTGTCAATTTTTTTCGTCCAGGCCACCAACACAAACCCCCAAATGGATTTGCATCAAACGCACCAAACCATCAAATCTACAAGGAACCCGAGAAATTTGGCATCTGGCTTGCAAACACCACCCTCGAATGTGCCATTGATTGTGTATAATTCTGTAAGCCTTCCCACGGTGTTTCTGTGAGCCGGCTGCGTCACAGCTTGATGAGAGTTTCCTTATCCTCAAATTAGGCTCAACCCGTCGAAACAAATCTCCGGCAACTAAGCTCCCAGTTGGAGCACTTGTTGGCACAGTCTGTTGAGAACAAGGTTAATTCGCCCATCAGTCTTGACACTGGCATCTATTCGGCCATTGCAGGTGGTCGATTTGTCGGTCCGAGTCTTGAAACTCCACGTCTGGCAAGCAACGCAGACGACATTATGCGATTGATTGGTGTATCAGCAGTCCTTAACCATCAGGTTTGTGGCCAATGTTGGGTTCCTCCGAAACTGATCTGACTGAATTGCTGACCTTCGATCCCGCTTTCAGAACTCAATGATTGTTATTAGAAAGGTTTGTGTCATTTCTTATCATGGCATTTTCCAAGGTAATTTGATGGAAAAGCACTCACACTCAGAAAACAATTCTTCAACTAGTCATCTTGCTCCCTCTACCGAAAACAATTGAAGCAAGACGATGAAACCAGACTTCAGTTTTGCGCTTCTGACAGCACGTAAGATGATCTGCACATTATAATCTGATGCCGTTCTTCAAGAATCTGACCAAATAACTTGACGCCCGTCTTGTAGGCTCATCGAAATCGTGAACGTGAAAGAAAACACAATCATCAAAGACATTTACAATGCTCATATAATCGAAAGCAAATATGGTTTCAAAACTTCCTTCTTGGCTTCTGAGGCTCTGCGTTGTCAACAAGCTAACCAAGAGACTGGACATCACCAAGAACGGGAAAACAACGACGACAGTCCATTTGACGTTTGCACCTTCGAGCTACCCATCTGCAACCTTCAGGATGAATGTTAGTAATCCCGACAGCATCTCTTTTTTCTTTGCTACAGCGGTGTTCCTTTTGCGTCGATTTTGCTGACGTGTCTCTCTCTCTCACAACTTTACTTTCAGACTATCAAGAATTGTTGGAGCATGGTAAAAGTATTGCCCGGATCTGTCGAGAAGATGTTGGCTTGCCGATTTGAACATCCTGTTACAGAGCCCCTGCGACTCCTTTTGTAAGAGAAAGGTTTCGGGCACATGGTCTCATTGAACATCCCTTGTTTTAATTCCCTTTCACTCTCTTGATACATGATAATATCATTAATTGTATACACTTGTATGGCTGTTTTCTTTTCACTCGTTTGATGCCCTTCTTTTTGTCACTCTCTTGCACCCTAAACCTCATGTCAAATAGAATGCCCCCAAATGCCACCGCGCTCCATCAACGATCTATCTTTTTGAATCTCGTTGCTCAAGATTGTTCCTTTGGGATCACCAATCACAGTCAATTCTATGGCATTGCAAACTTTGGAATTTCATGCATCTCAAGCTGCAAAGTTCTATAAATCAAGTCATCCACGGTCTACAACCGCTGCTTGCAACTTCAGTCAACTTAATGTGCGCTTTGGGATAAAAACCACCTTATAGGGATGCACAATCTTAATGCGCGTGGTGATACTATAGGCCAAATTTGTCGGTACATACAACATCGACACAAAGTGTGAAACCTCACCGCATACAGGTTTCACAAGGACTATCACAAACTATCATCTCACTACTTAAACTACAATCATCCTCCCCCTTCCTAGTTCGGTAGAGAACTCTTACACTTCATTCTACCGAACTAGGTGAGCCATTTTCATTCTTATTTCTCATCTCATTCTCTTTCCTTCTTTCTTCATCATTCTATCTGATTATATTGTACTGAGAGAACTCTTACACTTCATTCTACCGAACTAGTTCAAGAAATTCATACATACTCAGGTTCTAGAAAGTTCTCTCCAGGCAATTGCCTGTCCCGACGATATAACTAAGGAAGTTTAGTGAAGAGTCAAGACGCAACTCTTACACTTTTTTTTTCTCGAACCTAAAACCCCCTCATTGATTGATGACAACTTGCTCTCAAGCGGAAACTCTCCTTCCTTTAACTGACCCGGAAGCGATTTTGAAGGACGGTCGACGTCAAAAGAGATTGGACGCGGCGACTAGCAAACAAAACAACTCAAACGGACAGAACAACCTCGTCGATCTCCCAGCTCTTCCTCCTTCCCCGACGATGTCCGAAACACCGGCAAACCCCAATGAAACTAAAGGCTCGCCACCGATGAGCCTCGACGACTACCTGAAGGGATTGATGAGGCTACAACATCAAAGCATCGATCAGGCCAACGTGGATAGATCGACGATCATGGAAAGCTTGAAGTCGGAGCGCAAACTCCGTCAAGCCGACGCGGATCGTATCGCGAAACTAGAGGAAGCAGTCCTCCAAATGGCAATCAAGAAAGTCCCGGAGACCTCTTCTACTCGGGCAGAGACCGGTCGCATCGACCTCCAACGATTTCGGTCATCAGATGGTCCAATTTTTTCAGGACCGTTCCAAAACGTCGAGCGATTCATTACCTGGATCCGGAGCGTTCAAATCTTTTTCGCCACGAAAGGTGTCACTCACGACGACAACAAGATTCAAATCATCGGCGGTCTCATCAGGGAGACCAACACGACGGCGTTTTATGCCAGCGGGTTCGAGTCGTTCTTGGGCAAGCCCTGGTCGGAGTTCAGGACAGGGCTCATCGCCTTTGCGCTCCCGCCCAACTGGCGTACAACTCTGCGAGGCAAATTCAAAGATCTTCGAATGACTAACTCGGAGTCATTCCTTTCGTATAGTACGCGCTCTTGCACGCTTCAGAGCATGCTAAATTTTGACCTCAAGACGGAGGCGATATCGGACTTTGCTCTGGCCGAGTCCATGGCACTCGGGACCAACGATCAACTGCAGGCGGAGATTCACAACCACCAAATACTCCTGCAAGAGCCCTTCAAGTTCAGCACGTTCGAGAACAGGGCTAGCGGGTTCTGGGACGGTATCGTGAAACGTTCCGCGGCAATGGCGCGGCCGAGGATTCAACCCTCTGCAAACTCATCGGCCACCGGCTCGCAGTCGGGTCGACTGCCTAAAGAAGAATTCGTATGGCGAATTCATTCGTTTCTAGACTCCCAGGGCAAATGCCATTTCTGCAAGAAGCAGTGTGGCAGCACCCCAGGTAAATGCGCCGGTCCGATCGACAAGTCACCGGTTGAAATCCCTCCAACATTCGTTGTCCCCCCAAAACCGAGTGATTACAAACCACCCAGACCAAGGGGTCAGACCTCAACTCTAGCGGGGAAGCCGACCCAACCACCGGCGGGCCGACCTCCTAACAGATCAGCTTCAGTGGCTGAGATTGGTGAACCCAACGTGTACCCCGACCTGGATGCGGCCTCTGTCTCGGCTTTCGCCGCAATCGACGAGGAACTTTGACTGACGGCAGAGGATGAGTATGTGCCTCCCGTTGTTCCTAGGCGACTCGTCATCCGCCTTAAGGTCGGAGATCATTACTTACTTGGTTTGGTTGACACAGGGGCCGAGATCAACCTGATCAATGACCAAGCAGTACAGAATGCAGGACTAACCGTATTGGATCTGCCGGTACCTACCCGAGTCAGCCTAGCGCTTAAAAATGCGTCGCAGGCTCCGTTAATCCTTAAGCAATTTACGCGGGCAACATTCACGGATACCCAGTCACAACTACGTTTTGACGATGTCGAACTAAGCTTGGGACCCATCACAGGAAATTACGACATGATATTAGGAATCCCCTTTCTATCCCTTTTCAATCTCTCTGTCTCCATTTCTCAACATAGTTTAGTTTGTGTTAAATCAGGCCGTTGTGTAGTAGATTACAGAGCTGTAGATGCAATGACAACGAAGACTGTTTCCTGTTCAACACCCGAGAGTACCGCAAACTATCCGTGTAAACAATCAGAGGCCACTTTCCTGGGGGAATTCTCAGACCTCTTCCCACTGGACATACCGGCAATTTCAGATGAAGCAGAACTGGAAGGCTCATTCAAAGACGGGTCTTTCCCAAAGAAGATGCAGGAAGAAGGCTCAAAAGTCAGACATAAGATTATCTTAACCAATCCAGACGCTCAGATCAAAGAACGGCAATACGCTTACCCACAGAAATACATGACAGCGTGGCGCAAACTACTAGATCAACACATCGAAGCAGGCAGGATTCGGCGATCGTCAAGCCAGTATGCCTCACCCAGTATGATAATACCTAAAAAGGACCCGGACGCACTACCCCGATGGGTATGTGATTACCGCACGCTCAACAGTCTCACAGTGAAGGATCGCTCCCCACTACCAAATGTTGATGAGCTGGTGCGTATGGTGGCTACCGGAAAAGTTTTTTCAATACTAGACCAGACCAATGCATTCTTCCAGACACGGATGCGAGAGGCGGATATACCACTCACTGCCGTCAAGACTCCTTGGGGACTGATGGAATGGGTGGTTATGCCCATGGGATTAACCAATGCACCGGCGACTCATCAAGCACGCTTGGAAGAAGCACTCGGGGAACTCATTAACGACATTTGTGTGGTTTACCTGGACGACATTGTCATCTTCTCGGGGTCGTATCCAGAACATGAAAAGCATGTACGGCGTGTCCTGGAACGGCTACGATTGGCCAATCTTTATTGCAGTCCAAAGAAAACCCAACTGTTCCGAGATAGAATCAAATTTTTAGGTCATTGGATTTCAGCGGAGGGTATACGCGCAGATAACGAAAAAATAGCTCAAGTTCTGGGCTGGAAAGCACCATCATCGGCAAAAGGAGTGAAAAAGTTTCTTGGGACAGTACAGTGGATGAAGAAGTTTGTGTGGGGATTAGAAAAGTATGTTGGGACTCTAACACCATTAACCAGCAGTAAATTGCCAGCCAAGGACTTTCAATGGGGAACGGCAGAAGATGACGCATTCGAGAACATTAAGAGGATAATGACATCTCTTCCGTGTCTCAAGAATGTAGACTATGAATCAGACGACCCACTTTGGTTATTCACGGACGCTAGCGGTTCAGGGTTGGGGGCGGCGCTATTTCAAGGGAAAGAGTGGAAGGGAGCATCTCCTATATCTTATGAGTCTCATTTAATGACACCAGCAGAGCAGAATTACCCAGTACACGAGCAAGAACTTCTGGCGGTGATACATGCCTTACAGAAATGGAAGATGCTATTATTAGGAATGAAAGTTAATGTCATGACGGACCATCACTCACTGACGTATCTCTTGAAGCAACGGAACCTTAGTCGGAGGCAGGCTCGTTGGCTGGAAATCCTGTCTGATTTTGATCTGCATTTTGAATACATCAAGGGAGAAGATAACTCGGTGGCCGACGCACTCTCCAGGAAAGACCTGGGGGAAGAAGACTCGAAGGTTACACAGGAAGACGTTGCATGTGTAGCATCACTCACGGAATTGGGTAGTGTGTTACCAGAGGCGTTGAAGACACAGATAATGGCAGGTTACGCTGAAGACAACTTCTGTAAGACAGTGCGAAAAGTGCTCCCACTTCAAGAGGATTGCGCAGAAATCAATGGCCTTTTGTTCATTGACGGCCGTTTGGTAATTCCAGATGAGAAGGGACTACGCAGGAAACTGATCGAGGAAGCTCATGAGCGACTAGGACACTTGGGGTACTTGAAGACTGTGATGGAATTACGCCGTGATTTTTTTTGGCCCCAAATGGCAAAACACACCGCCAATTTGGTTCAGTCCTGTGATACCTGTCAGAAGACCAAGGCACCAACAACGGCTCCTACCGGCAAGATGTTGACCCCATCCTTCCCACGGACACCACTGTCGGACCTCGCCATTGATTTTGTAGGACCACTGAAGGCATCCAACCGGTACGACATGATTCTCACGTGCACCTGCCGACTCTCAGGGCTCACAAGGATTATCCCAGCACTACAGACGGACACCGCAGAACGTTCAGCAACTCGACTCTTCAACGGTTGGCTGGCCTTATTTGGTGCACCCAAGTCAATTTTGAGCGACAGAGATAAAACTTGGACGTCACATTTCTGGAAAGCTCTGATGGAGAAGTTACACGTGAAATTCCACATGACAACCTCGTTTCATCCTCAAGCGGACGGCAGGAGCGAGCGGACCAATAAGACAGTGGGACAAATCCTCCGTTCTTTCACGTCTAAACGGCAGGGAAAATGGTTGGAAGCACTCCCGGCAGTGGAATTTGCAATTAATTCGGCAGTCAATGTGGCAACAAGTTACAGTCCCTTTGAGCTTGTGTTTGGCCGCAAACCCCGGCTCTTTCCATCGGCAGATCACACGGGAGAGGCTCCCAAAGCCTTGTCAGTATGGACAAAGTGGCGGGAGGGGGCCTGGCAAGACGCACGTGATGCCTTGTGGACCAGCCGAGTGAAGCAGGCTATTCAACATAACAAACATGCCAAGGAACGCATAGCACTTGAACCGGGCTCGTGGGCCCTTCTCAACTCAGCAGACTGGCGGGGACGTCAAGGTGGAAACGACAAATTGAAAGAAAGGTTTGAAGGTCCTTTTCGAGTGATCCGGGTGAGCAATCACGGTCAAAATGTCGAGCTTGAATTACCAGAAGGCAACCGTCGCCACCCAACATTCCACATTTCAAAGATCAAACCATATTGTTTTCCAGCACTTGACGAGGCACTGGGGGACCAGAAGTAAGTTCCTCTCCTTTGATGCACCTCCGGGCAATTCTACATCAAGTTGGAAAACATCACCTCGGCCACTTTGTGAGCACAAAACCATTTGCGTTGCAGATTCAACTCGATCTCGGGAATCGGATACGGACATCTCATTCTTTCATCCTTTTTGTTTTCCTCTCTTCATCATTATCTCAATTTCATCCCTTGTTCTTTTTGCTTTCTCTTTTTTTTCTTTCTTTCTTCTCCTTTCTTCTTCCCAATTTTTTTATTATTATCATCATATTTCATTCACTTTTATAGGGGGGGAGAATGTGAAACCTCACCGCATACAGGTTTCACAAGGACTATCACAAACTATCATCTCACTACTTAAACTACAATCATCCTCCCCCTTCCTAGTTCGGTAGAGAACTCTTACACTTCATTCTACCGAACTAGGTGAGCCATTTTCATTCTTATTTCTCATCTCATTCTCTTTCCTTCTTTCTTCATCATTCTATCTGATTATATTGTACTGAGAGAACTCTTACACTTCATTCTACCGAACTAGTTCAAGAAATTCATACATACTCAGGTTCTAGAAAGTTCTCTCCAGGCAATTGCCTGTCCCGACGATATAACTAAGGAAGTTTAGTGAAGAGTCAAGACGCGACTCTTACACAAAGTCCTCTTCACTTTATGCATACAAGCACGCTTGTATGTGGCTTTGTCGTGATCATTTATAAATCGCTTCTTTCTTTTTCGAAACCAGCATTGGATGGAAAGTTTGGTTGGATGCTTTGCTTTTGATGATGACCACTTGTGGACGGACAGGCCGGATTTGGAGATGATGGATGGGATAGGGTTTGAAATTCTTAAGGAAGATAAGACATCGGTCAAGAATAGTGCTAAGGCAACCTAATACTAATACAAATTCACTTTGGAACATGCAAGAAAAAAAACGAGATGGTTGTATAGAGTAAGAGACGGAAAAAGAAAAGGAGTGGATGAGTGGAACTTGATCAAGATGCAAGTGCATATTAAAACTGGGTTCAGAGGTAGACAAACAGATTACTGATGATTCAGAGCAAGATGAAGGTCAAGTTAAGAGGGGAAAAAACTTGAGAGATGAATCACAGGAAGATTGCTAGTGAGATTACCAAGTGGATGGTTTTGGTGCTCATCAAGTTGGTGGTAAGATCCTCATGATCATGGTAGTCATTCACTGGCCTCCTTGCATGGTCTGTATCCTCCTCAACCTCATCCAGCCTCTTGGAGTCGACAGTCGGTTTTTCAAAAGGAGAATGCTATCAACCATATTTTGAGAAGCTGACTGATGAATTTTTTGTTGTTTTTCATGGAAACCAGTCAGCTCACTGCAGGTTGATAGGCTTCCTTGGCTTATTTCAATCCGATAGTAGTGGTGGACTAGGATGTGATGGTTGCAGATGATTGAGGATGGATTGGTGGAGGCCTTGTTGGGCCAGCCAATGTTCTATATTTTATGTACGTTCTCGAGTTGGCTAGTCGATGACCAAAGCTTATTTTGAAGCACATATTTATCCTGTGGCTGTGGTGCCGCGCACGACGGTGAAGTTGAGCGGATGTTGCCAGATGGAGAAGGACTCTTGTTGATGGTGTGGTGGTCATGCAGAAGGACCAACAGGCACACTCTTCCTTCACCAAGTCGACTGGCTATTCGTCCCGTTTTCCTGATGCGGTATCTACAAATGGGTTCCGGTTTTGCCACAGACTACTCTGATCAGGCAGGATCCATCACCCCAGGCTCGGAAGTGTTGCCATAGTCGCCCATGGTGGCGTGCCCAACGAGAACGCTACACTATCTAATGGGGCTGTTCGTTGTTCGTATTCCGGGATGGCGATGGCGATGACGGGTGGAATGCGGCAGACACGGATGGGATCTGTCTTCTCACCTTTAGACAAAGTAATAGGTGGGTGAGTGATCACTATTTATGGTCATCATTCTATTCCATCCCAACTTCACCCCCATCCTTCAACCAGTGTGTACATATTGTGATAAGAGCAACATTTGTAAAAACCCCTTCCCTTCCCTACCAATTCTTTACTTCAGCCCATTCTTGATAGCAGCTGCCGGTCTAGACTACATAGATAACTCCTTTAAATCACCCAAACAGAATACAAGTAAAACAAATGGCTTTGATCCAATTCCTCATCACCGCGCTGCTCGGCCTACAAGTACTAGCTGCAAGTCCCCCCAAAAAACCGGTGGATCCAACGGCTCCGCACTGCTTTACTGATATGGGCGAAGCCCAGAAGACGGAATGTCCCGTGTACGCTTCTGTTTCTTTCTCTCTTGCTTGAACATGTTTATTGCCATCCCTTCCACTCTGGGCTGGCTATGAAGCAAACTATTCGGGTGGTCTGCTTCATTGATCTGACGTGATTTGCGAACCTATCCCACCAGTGCGCTAGCCAAAATCATCTACAACAAGGACACCATGAACAAATTAGAAAACAAGCTGTCCGTCGTCTCTGGAGATTGCTATGTGAGCCATTGCTCTATCCCTGTTCAATCATCGTCATGGGTGTTCGATCGACCCACTATGACCGAAATGATCAATCGTGCTGACTGGAAACTGCTCCTCTTACCAGATAAATGTCTACAATAAAAAGAAGGTTGTTGTGTGAGTCCTTACTCTCAGTGCTGGGTGGCAACATTGATCTAAATGGAGTCTTTTGATCCTCTAGGACAAAAAAACAGATCGAGGACACAGTTACAGAGATTACAAAGTCTTGTAAGGTGTGTAAATATGTACTGCATTCAAGAAGATTGGTATGAGTATACATATTTAGAGCCCAATGACTGACCGAACCTCATGCTTTTTGATCTACAGAGTGGTCCTGACCACAAGCCCCTCGATCGGAGGGCCTGGTAAAGCCAGGCTGGCGCAAAGCGCCCCTCGCGAAGCGAGCCTCCGAAGGAGGCTCGCTTCGCGAGGGAGATGCTCCGCATTGGGGTGCTCTGCACCCCCATTCCGGGAGGCTTAGTTAAGTCAGGAGTGGTCGTGCTAAAATCAAAGGCAACACAGAGGTCACAATCTGGGTCACTGCACGCTTCAATCCTAGAAACTGGTACACTCCATACGACCCGGATTTCCCACTAGAGAAGATCTACTGTTTCCATGGGGCCGGTGTGGTTAAGGAAGACTGCTTAGAGTGAGGATTTGTCTCAAGATCATTTGCTTGCTTCGCTTGGCTGGCCTCTGACCAGAGATGTCTTATTCGACTCGCTAGGGCATTCAACCAGATTCCTGTAGACGGACAAGGCCAGCTGGTCAGTCCAACTACCAAAAAGCTAGCACAGTCACTTGAAATCAAAGCCAAAGCTTGTCGAGTAAGTCAACTTACAACTCCCAAGGCCACATCCACATTTAGAGTCCTTCTACCTTGTGCCTTTTGAGACATCTGATTTTGACATCAAAACCAATTTGTTGTCATCAGGTAACTGCCTACACATCCGATGGAACAAATGTTGTCCTGTCAGCATTTGAACTCAGAATAGCTTGATAGCATAAGTATTGATACTGACTCCTCATCTCAATCAAACAGCAAAAAACAGGATGTCTTGGCCATCGTGACTGGTATGATAAACCAATGCAATCCGGCGGTGTGCAATTGTTTCTTCCGATTCCAGCCAACCAAAGTGCAAATAACTGACTAATTGATAAATTTCTTCTTTTATCCAGTGGGGTACTGTGAACATCAAAGGCGCGGAGGGTCCCAACGGACATGTAACTATTGTCACTCGCCGTTACTGACCGTTACTGATCTCTCTTATCCTTATGGATCTCAATTCCATGTGCTTTCATCGCGTGTTGTAAGTTGAAGCTCTTCTTCAACTGTAGAATATTCCTTCATTTTTTGTGGACTCATCAGACATAGATTGTGGACAAATTCAAAAGTACATCCTGTATGTAGTGCAAGGCCAGCAACACCAAGTATAGTAATAGTGAAATGCCAACAACACCCAGCTTATTTTCTGTTAAATATGAGCAGTCTTGTGCTAACCCCAATGACTCTTTCTGCAAAAACATAAAAATGTGACTGGTTGTTGGCTTTTTGTGCTGCAGCACCCAGAAGCACTGCAGACAGCTAATTGCAGTTACACCTGAGCTCTGATTGTGTTCAAAAAAAGTGCTATCATGCTAATGCCTTTTTTTTAAAAAAAAAAGCCAGCTAGCTCTGAGTATATGAAGAGAACAATAGAAAGGATTGCAATAGTCATCAAGTTCATAAGTAGAAAGATTGCAGATTTTTGGGCAAACATTTTAGTGCTTCAAGCAAACCCTATGTCTGACACTGAGACACTCACTACAAAAAATTGTTGAATCACATTGTCAGAATGCGCGGTAACATCACATGTCACATGTGATGTCACTTTGCATTTGTAAAATGCAATTGAATTTTGGGTACTACAGACCGCTGGAGTTGCCCTTAGTTGGTATCTTGCAAGCTGGACCTTGACACACCTTAATTGAGATAGACACTGAGCTGCTGCCTTCAAGTTCCACTGTGATAAAGGATGTGCTCCCCCAGTAGAGAAGTGATGGAAAGATTTTTGACCATCTTTTAGAGCCAATCTTTGCTTATAAATTGCTAAGTGAAAATTGAAAATTTCAGGGGAAGATACCAGATATCCAGGTACAAAGTCCAGGTTAAAAGGTTTTAGCCACTGCATGGTCCATCAAATCATCACTTCTGAATCACTTTTCTTTTTGAAAGTAAAATAGCTGGAGGGCCTTTGTTTTAGTTTCACAACAAGATCAATGAAATTGGTTTTATTTTTTGGAAAAAGACTTGAGGGCCAGTACTGTGGGATTCAATTTGGGAAAATGGGCATTTCTACTGCCTTATAAACATAATTTGACAAAAGGGGGAGAGATTTAAGATTGAAATAGCAGGGTTCATGATTGAAATTTATTAAATTTTAAAGTTCATTTTAAGGTGTTTATCAACAATTTTTTTAAACTTGAGAAATTTTTACATATTGATCAGAAACCCCAAAATCTGAATTGTTGACAAAAGCCGTAAATTTGGCCTGAAAAATTTCAAAATTTCTGTCATGAACCCCGCTAATTGGTCATTTTTTTCCTCAACACTGGCTTCTGGTGACAATAGATCTTGATTAAACAAAATGTTGAGTAAGATAAATTCTAAAAAGAAAATTGAACATTTTATGTCCTACCAGAGGCCATGGGCGGCTTTTCCACCATCCAAGCACAGTTTTCCAGTTCACCAAGATTCTGTTGAATTTGCCCTTCCTGTCATAGTAGAAAAACTGATAGTATGAGGATAGCACAGCAGGAAAATAATTTAACCTTCCTCTATTAGGGCCTGTACTGTGGTATTTAATTGTGGCCTAAATAGTGCTCTAAGGGGCTTGCCAGATGAGCCACCAAAGGCAGGTGTGCATCTAACTGTCGAGTTTGATGGGTCTCTAGGCCATCAGGATGGTTTTATGGAATTTTAAGCATTCTGAGCAGGATTGGACGGATCACCAAGAATAAGAGATCCCGCAAAGTACTGCTTTGGGGGTCTTTATCTGAATAAGAATCACACACGTGAAATATCATCCAGGGACCAGATGGATCCGAGTTTTAGAGCATCGCCAACGGTCTGGGGGTGAGTTGGCTCGCCTTCAGCAGCCCGGAGACAGATGTCCCAAACTGTCACCGATATGTCACAGTAAGGCAAAATATGGACTGTCGATCCGGGCAGGGGTGGATGAAGATTTCCATTGATCAAGTTGATATTATTTTCAACACAACCACCCACCAAAACACAACGAAACCCGATGGATCCATTGGAAATCATGGAATGGGTTGAAGACGACGACGACATACTCGCATCACTTCAAACTACAATCTCACTAATCATCAGAAGAAGGAATAAGGAGCCTCCGAAGCGTGGTGGATCCACATTTGGGCGAAGAGAAATCTATCGAAACCGTCTTCTAGGTCATCAGCAGCTGTACAGCGATTATTTTTCAGAAAACCCAACCTACCCAGACCACCTATTTCGTCGGCGCTTCAGGATGCGACGATCACTTTTCCTCAAGATTGTCGAGGCCGTTGTTCAGGAGGACGATTATTTTGTTCAAAAACGGGATGCGGCTGGTCGGTTGGGCTTTTCACCATTACAAAAGGTCACATCCGCTTTCAGATTGTTGGCATATGGTTGTAGTGCTGATTCAATTGATGAATACCTTCGAATCAGTAAGTGTTTCAGTTTAACTAACTCCCAATTTTGTTCTTCTCACTGCTGATAATTCTCTCTCAAATTGAAGGTGAAAGCACCGCACTGGAAAGTCTCAAGCGATTCTGCTTGGCAGTGGTTAACATCTATGCAGAAGAATACTTACGAAGCCCGAATGAAGACGATCTTGTCAAGATACTCGCTGTCTCGGAGGAGCGAGGCTTTCCGGGTATGATGGGCTCATTGGACTGTATGCATTGGGGTTGGAAGAATTGCCCCGTTGCAGACCACGGCCAATATAGCGGCAAGGAAAAGGAGCCAACTGTTATCCTTGAAGCCGTTGCAGCACACAACCTCTGGATCTGGCACGCTTTTTTTGGTCTCCCTGGTACTCTGAACGACATCAACGTACTCGATCGATCCCCGGTTTTTGAGCAATGTCAGGATGGAATCAACCCTTCTTTTCAATACTTTGTAAACGGAAATCGATACACACTGGGGTACTATCTAACCGATGGGATTTATCCCAAATATGCAACCCTGATGCAAACAATCCCGGACGCACAGGGAAAAAAAAAACCGACACTATTCGAAGATGCAGGAAGCATATCGCAAGGACGTTGAGCGTGCGTTTGGGGTATTACAAGCTCGGTATGCAATTATTCGGTTCCCTGGGCGATTATGGAACCACTCGGACCTGTGCTTCATTATGAAAACAGTTATTATTCTACATAATATGACAATCGAGGACGAGGCCGGATCTGAATTTGAGGACAACTTCGAGTACGAGCAAAATATACGGACCCAAGCCTCCATATCGACTAGCGACTCATCAAATGCAGATTTCGACTCTTTCCTCTTGCGTTATCATGGACTCCAAGACATCCATGTACACAATCGACTTAAAGCGGACTTGGTTGAACATCTCTGGACCAAGTTGGGCCGAGATCCTGATGAGAATTGAAATCAACATGCAATCCTGTTTTTATTATTTTTTTCCCTTTGCTGTTCCAATATTTTGTACACTTTTCTTGCTTCTTTCTTTCTTTTTCCTCTCAAAATGATTATTTCTTTTAAACTATCCAGTAGTTTTTTTTTTTAACAAACTCAACATTTTTCATTTCATTTTTTTGTGAATCATGTTTAATTGCAATTTAATTGAAATGAAAGGTTTTTTTTGCAAAGAAAAAAAAAACATGCTCCAAACAATGATGACTAAAATAGACTACTAAGAGCGATCCAAAATCGCACGTCGTTTTTTCTGCCAGTAGGCTTTGGCCTCCTCATCCAAACCGCTGATGTCCATCGCCATGATGCGATCATCTGCCTCCGACTGCTTTGCCGCTGAAGCCTCCTGCATCGCCTTTTGAACCGATGCCGATCGTTCCTTCGAGATCTTGACAAGCTCTTCCTGAGTTCTGATTATCTTCTCCAACATCGCATCTTCATCGCGTTTTCTTTTTGCTGCTTTGTTTCCTTCTGGACGAGATTCAGATCCAAGGGCGCTACGGGTTGATTGTTCGTCCTCCTCATCAGGTTGAGTGTCAGCTTGGGAGCTAGATTGCGCAGTGTCGTCAGTCGTGGGTGTGTTACTCGGTTGCTTTGACTTTTTGGCTTTGAGATCGATCTCTTGCTGAGTAGCCTGCCACTTGGGGTGCTCTCTCAAGATTGCCCAACAGTGATCGAGATTGAACGTTGATTCGTTCTCGGATTTGTAGAGCTCCTTGGCCTCAGCAAGCTAAAAGGTCAAAGGAATCGACTAAAAATCAACTGACTGAAGACAAAGGATTGAAATAGAATGAAAGAAAGCAAACGTACAACATCATCGCGACTCATTCCACTTCTCATTCGACGCTCGACTTGCGAGTAACTTCCGCCAAATTTGTTGCAAACCCTCAGGATGTGGCCCCAACGACATTCGATCGCATTTGTTGGTCGAACTGGTAAAGGTTTTTGTGTTTTGGAGTTCTTGTGGTCCTTGTTGAAATCCACAACAAAATCGGCGTAGAGTTGGTGAACTCGTTCCCAGAACGTTCCCGCTTTCTGACCGGCCCCAACGATACTATCTCGGCTTGTATTCAACCATGCAGCACAGAGCTGCTTATCCTCCTCAATCGTCCACTTTGGGGCCTTCTTCTTTGGCGCTTCTTCACCTTTGTCGCGTCCATCTGAAGGAGCTGGTTCAGTCGCCGAGGCTCTGGGGGTTGCATTTGGATCGGTTGGATTCGAATCCGGTTGAGTTATCGGCATCGTACGGGTTGTCGGAGTTGGTGTGTTGGGAGTCATTGATGCCAGGAGAGGATCGACTACCACAGTTTTGGGAGGCATGGATATAGGAGATATGTGGTGGTTGTGGTGGTGTTGATATCAATATATGTATGAAAAAAGGGAAATCGGACGACGAGCCGACCGAGAGGTGGTTGTAGCAGCTCGGAGGGAGAGCTGCCAAAGCTGCCAAAAGTAGCAGCCAAGGGCAGCTTTGATCCACCCCCGCGACCATCAGCAGCACCGCTAGAGGCCAAAAAAGGCTCGCGGGCCGCTGAAGTCGGTCCCAGGTCCCGCATCAGCAGGACCGTTGGCGATGCTCTTAGGCCAGATCGATTACACCACGGGTTGTGGTGGACGAATGCTTGACGGAAAGCATTTCGTGGGCTTGACCCATGCCGCCCCGACCAAAAATTTGGTGTGCTTCATAGCGGGGGGCGTAATCCCCCGCGGTCGGCTTGACACTCCAACGTTGGCTGGCCAGCGGTTGTAACGCGGGCTTGCGGCAACAGTACCGCGGCTTGCCGTTGGCAGTCTTTGGTGGCTTGCCGTTGACGATCTTCGCTGGCTTGGCGTTGGAAGATGACGAGCGCTTGCGGTCAATTGGCTGTGTCAGCTTTGCGGGAACGACCAGCGTTGGCTTTCCATCAATCACTGACGCTACCGCGCCGTCAGCTGTCGACGGTTGCTTGTTTCATACTTCACACGTCAACTGGCAGGCAATACATATGTACATTTATTTGTGCTATTGCACAGGAGGGAAAACCACGACAGTTAAGGGGTTGCTAGTGATGTTGGATAATGATCTGATATCAAAGATTTCGGAGGACATACAATGAAATGAATGAGATAGAAATTGATAAACAAATATAGAGGCAGGCAACGCAGGTAATGAGGAAAAAAACGGGCGAGTTCGTCATTGAAGAATGGGGCACAGGCTATCTTTTACTGTTGAGAGGCTTGCCTCTCGACATTACTTTCCTTGCGAGCGAGGGCTGCATGGACATCGTCCACCGAAGGGAAAGTGAAACTTTCCTTTTCCATCTGTCGAAATTCCTTACCATGCGAAAACAACTCCTTGTCCTTCGCTAATACAAGTGATGCGTGCCTTCATTGAAAAGGAAGCACGTCAGGATGGTCGACTTGTCAAAAACGAAATAAAACAAACTTACATGTTTTGGAACTCAGCAGTTGATTTGCGGAGGATTGCGAGCCGCTCGTCAATCACACCCCATTGTGTGCTTTTAGACGATGAGTGAGTGTAGTAGTGGACAAGGACCAGACGGATAAAGGCCATTCGGATTCGCATGAGCCAATTTGCTTCGACTCGGGTCTTGATCTGCTCTTCGGTCCATTTTCGGTTATCTGGTGGGAGGTCAGAATAAATCTGGATCCAAAACAAGAGTCAACTTCAACTATCAAGGGGGTTGAGTTGGAATTCCCTCACCAAAGTGACCAGTGCATGTCGGTTTGAGACCGCACCTTTGAGCGAGATTCTTTGGGTCTCGAGTATGTT